AACTGAACAGTCATCAATAGACTCAAGTGAGATGAAAAAGAGACTGAAATTGGAGGAGGCACTCTTCATTCCTATGAATCTCATAAGTTGTGTGCATCTGCTAACAACGTTGGTTAATCTTTTCCATTACATTCTTCTAATTTCTTTTTAGCAGTCCCTGTGGAGCACCAATGTGAATGTTGTCCTCTATTCTTCTCTTTTCCCCTCCCATGCAAAGTACACAGCACCTCGTTCCTGCAGCCCTGTAGGGCCATATCCCTCCATAACACCCATTCCTCAATTAAGAGGGTTTTTGGAAAGGTCACTGAAAATACCCTCTGTCATTTCCCCCCCGGTTTATTTGTATTTGAATCCAGTGGCAATGAAAGCCCTGGGGAGCTTTGCCCAGGAGGCTGGGAGCAGATCGCTGGACTGCAAGTCTTTTGCTTCCCTCTAGTGTTTGATGTCTTTATTTTCTTGTAAACTGTCAGGGCTGAGTTCTGCCATGACCTGACCGTGCCCAAGGTCCACTGCACAGAGAGGATGAATAAAAGGAAAAAAACTTGCAGATCTTTTAGACCAGATCCATGAGTAGTGTAAACTGACTTGGATTGCGTCCTGCTCACGTATACCGGCGCATCTTAATTTTAAGCACATCCAAACTGTGTGATTGCAGTTATATCTTTCCGCTTCTTTTTCTCTGTTAGGATCATTCCCATGTCTAGTTCTTATTCTGCATTGATGCTAATCTTGCCTGTGTGAATGGGTAGAATGAGATGGAATCTTTGCCCCGGAGATGAAGAGCAGCTGCATAACTTGTCTTTTTGAATGTGCCAAGAGTCTTCACATAGCGCTCGGTGTTTACACAGGGAAACGGAGGACCTCTGAAGAGGAGGAATAGGTTGGCTAACAGTTCCTGTGTGGTTCATTCAGACATCAGCTTCTGATACATCCCTTCAATGAGACAAGTCCAAAATCCATTTCTCCGTTTATTTTTAAACGATGGTGATTTTGGAGAAAATACTTAAGTGCAGGAATATAAGGATTAGTGCCACTGATGGGACTCAATACTTTGGCAACCCAGATTTTGTGTCTCTAGGTCACTACTGTGATTCCAGCCTGGAAGGAATCTTCCCTGGCTAATGGGTGTCGTCAGTTCAGTTTCTAATCCATGCTCCTGGCCTCTTTGTAGGTACCATCGGTCCTACAGGTGGCATGGATAGCTGGCAGTAAATGCTGGGAAGCTTGCAGTGCTGCCAACCGCATTGATCCTGCTGTGTTGCCGAAACAAATGAAAACAGAAGTCTTCATTTCCCAGGGTTGACTGTTCAAATGAAAGTACTCGCAGTCAAACCTGATTTCATTGACGTGAAACTGGCAAAACTGCCAGCAGCTGACTCATGAGAAGAAATAATCCTCCAAGTAAAAGACGAGTTTGTTCTTTTACAAATACAGTCTTGCAGGTGGATTAAAAATGCCCATGAAATCTCAGAGTGAGTCCCAAGTCACAGCTTTGGTGAGTGTCAGAGTGCTCAGAGCTTTGTTTTTCTTTTTGTCACATCGCTTTAAACAAATACTTATTTGCTAAGCACCCAGAATGTGATGAGCTTTTTGAATTCACTGAGACAAGCAATAACCATCGCTAGAATTCAAAGGATGGCTTTTTAGAAGGGCTTGCTTATTCTCTGTGTGGTAATGAAGTGCACTGCTATATAAATGAAGAAAAGGGTGAGCAGCTTTTATGCCTCAGGACACTATTTGCTCCCTGCAGGGGTCAGCAAGACTATTTGCTCTATCAAGGAGAGCACAGCACTAATAGCAAGAGATTTTATGCCTTATATTTATTTTCCACTGAAGTGTTAAGGCCTGAACTCCGCAAGAACCAAGATATTAGCCCTGATGGCCCAATGGTTTGCTAAGGTGGTGTATTCTGCGTTCCTATGTCTGCTCTTTAATTGGATTAGCTTGTGGTTTGACTGTAATGGGAAAGTGGGTTATCTCCTCTCTTCTGTGCTTTATGGGGACACAGAAAGCTTTTTGTGAGTCATAGATCCAGTCTTATCATGTCTGTTCCAAGGTAGTCATCTGGCTATTATACAACTCATTATATTTTCAGTTGTCAAAAGTAAAAGCAAAGCTAATAGAGCAAGAACAGAGCTCTTTGCAGATTTAGTCTTTCTGTGGATACCACCTGGGTCTTGGAGGAATTCAGGAGGTCATTAACTATGAACTGAAGAGACCAAAGGGCTGGATGTTAATAGTTTGCCTGAGTTTCATACTGCAAAAACTACATAAAGCTCGGTATCTCAGAAAATATAGCTTGTACGAGAGTTACCTTATAGTCCTGCCAGAGGAAGCCTTCCTCATTCTTGCTGAGAGATTCTTGTGCGTGGTAGAATTGATGGATTCACGGCATACTTTCCATACCAAGAGTACTCTCAGGTGCTTGCAGAACCATCGCATGTGTCTGTGCACAGAGGCAGGTTGAATGCATAGTTCTACAGAAATCTTCAGTACTTTATGCCTTACTCTATCAGAATTCCAAAATTGAAACTGAGAAATGACTAACCATCAGTGGCTGCCATTCTTGGAAAGTACTCTTTGAAGTGTACCAAGTTGCTCATTCCTGACTTAAAACAGGACCAAATCACTAGTTACATGATGAAGACTAAGGCCGTACCTTTACTTTGCTCTTTATCTTATCTCATTTCATGATCATACAGGCATTCAAGTTCAGCAGTGATGAGTGGTGTGAATGTCAGCAGATGAGCAAATCCCTGGAGTTGGAGAACCCTGGTGAATGTGGTTTTGTAATTGCCTCACTGTACCAGAAATGACAGCAGATAGTTGATGATGTTTTGGTTTCTCAATATTGTTAAATCTTGTTGAGTTGTGAATTAATCATGCCATTGGTAGAGAAGTACCCAGATCTGTCTCTGCGTAGGAGAATTTGGCTCTGGAAACAGTATCGCAGTGTTCATGTGGTAGCGTGCTGGTGGGAACTGGTAATGATTAAACTTTCAGAAAATTGAAAATAACAAATAGCAATAATGTTAACAGACCTTTTGGCAGCCTCTAACGCAATTGGCTTCTCTGTTTCATGCTGGTAGAAAAATCATTCCAGTGCCACAGGTCATTCAGTTCCTGAGCTGTGATTTACCCCTTCACAGAAAGCAGCTGAATATTCTGAGAAGTGAGTGTCCTCTTTCTTTGAAAGGGAAAAGGGGAGAATGTCATTAGCTTGGGATTTTCCTGAAGAGGTATTTTTAATGAACAAAAGAGTCCTTGAGACCTAAGCACGCTGTTCTGAAATCTTCATTTTCTGGCTGTCATTTTTGGGGATTTCTAGAAAGAAAGGTGAACTCTTCCCAAGTGCATCACCTGCAAAACATGGCGCTCTGACGATTTTTCTCTGGACTGTGTGCTCCAAAACATACCTCTCTCACCTGGCAGCACTGAGCAGTGACTCTTGCGGTTCTGTGAAATTGAAGCGATGATAGGTCTAACGCTTGCTCCGTGCCAAGCACCTCAATGGGCTCTGTGCCCAACAGGCTTCCATTGAAGCAGCTATTAGAAGCAATTTCTTCTGAGCCACGAATGTGTCTCTGCTCTTTTGTTAGCGTAAGCTGCGGAGAAGCCAACGGCGCTGTGGAAAATTTCACGATCTGCAGAGAATCCATGAGGTCATTGTTTAAACAGAACCCATCTCAATTCTCATGAAACACAAAGGGCACCGGGCTGCTGGCGGGGGCGAGTCCGAATTCTTGAGGTGCCTGAAACACGGTTGTCTGCCTGCCATTATAAGGCTGTGAGTAATGTTTGTTGGTTCTCTGCCCTGCCCAGCTCTCGTATAAATACATCGGAGAGAATGTATCTTGCATCTTGTAAAGACTGCTGAGGTAGAATATAAAGCTTTACTGAGTATACGTGTAGTAACGTACCTCCCTTTTCCTGCCGTCGTGTGAGTAAGGGTACTGACCGCCTGTGTACCGTGCCTGGGGGTCTGTGCCTGGAAAGTGTTTACTACTCTCTCCTTCTAGGAATTAAGGCGAGAGCGACAAGGGGACTCGTAATGTTTATACAGCCCTTTGGGAATGTTTACCAGGACGGCAAGTGTTTTTCTTAGTCCGGAGACTGTGGTGCTTATACAAAGAGAGCATCTCTGTGTCTTGCGCTCGGATAAATCACTGCCAACATCAAAAGCACCCGAGGCGGTATTTGTGCTCCGAAGCAGTTTGAATGTGCAAGATGACTTTATGGCTTAGCGCCTGGCTCTCGCTGGTGGTTCCCTCGGAAGGGATGGGAGCAGCGCGATGCGGCTGCTAACGCCAGCCCCGCCGAGCGGCGCGGAGCAGCAGGGCCCTT